CTTCCCAGGCAGGAGAGCCCAGCCATCCCTGGGCATCCCCGCCCCTTTCTGTGTCACAAAAAAGCTGTTTTCTGAGGGGAAAGTATCTCTTGGCTGCCATGAGCAAGGTTTTGAGGAGGTGATGCAGGTGGCCCCACATGGCAGGGAGGTGGCTGGCTGCTGGCATGTTTGTGGATGTGCTGGAGCCCGGAGCTGCTCCGCTTCCCGAGTGTTTTCCAGGTCTGGGGTTTGCCACTGGCTTAACTCCACAGGCTCTCATTCCCCTTTTCCACGCAGGGGACGCTGCGCTGACTCGCTGGGCACGGCTCCGGGGCGGGGCCCCCCGTCCCCCCGCGTTCTGCGCTGGGGAGGGTTCAGGTTGTGGGTTTTGCCGGTCTTGGTAGAGGCCTCGGGGCCGTGATCTGCCGTCACTTCTGCCACCAGGGGATTTGGAGGATGACTAAAACCGTGAGCCCGCATCCTCCCTTCGCCCAGCCCCTGAGGTTGTGCTCTGCCCTGCAGTGGGAGCACGGAGATGGCATCGGGCGGCTCCCAGATGCTGGAAACAGCAAATTCAAGTGCCCGCTCCACAGGGGAACTGCCTGGGCTGCGATTCCCCGTTTCTGGGGGAGAAGGGAGCTCCTTGGCCGGAGGAGAAGAGGCGGCAGCGGGAGAGCACGGGCAGCCCTCCCAGGGAGGGCCAGGCCTCGGCAGCTCCTCTCCATCAGCCCAGACTTAGTTTTCCTGAAAACATTTTTTCTTTGGTTTGTTTCAAGCCCTAAGGAAAGGAGAGGGGAGGCTGGGGGAGGCAGAAATGTCTCTTATTTATGTTCTTCAGTGTTGTTTACAGATTCGCATGGGGTCTTTCAACGTGAGTGTGGCGCTTTTCCACGTACGTTTAAGGGAGAGAGGGGGGGCAAGGGCTGGGACAGGGAGAGGGAGTCACTCGGGGAGCAGGTTTGGTTTTGGTTTTTCGTTGGGGTTTTCTTTTTCCTCCTTACAAAGCACATTCACTTTGAGCCACTCCCAATGCTGG